CTATATTATATATAAAATAAAGAATAACAATGATTAAATATCGTTTTTTTGGCCTGCGCAGCATCTTGCGCGCGGAGGTCGATCGATTTTCACAGGAATGACCCAACTTGCATGATTTCTTGGATCTTCTCGGCTTTTACCTTCCCAACCAGGCTTCTATTGGCACATTCCCATGCGAATATTCCCCGGACATTGCCAGGTCCCCCAGTTTTGGGGTATTGACATTGCGTGATACGTAAGAAGTTGATAAGTTGATAATCACTGTTGCGATCCATGAAACATGGACCCAACAATTGGCAGATTGGCAGATTGAGACTGTCAAAGACTTTGGCATAAGCACTTTCTAAATTCAAGAAAAGAAACTTCAGTAAGTTATGGATGGACCATTGTTCAGCCGCTGCTTCAGTAGCTATCAGGCCTGTGGATCCTGTGGCCTGTGGGAAAGGATTTTGTCGGGATGTTCCTTCACCGTCACTGGACATCCGGTTTTTTCAGTGATATTTTGTCCACACAAAGCATGTCTTTCAAGGATCAAGAGTTGGATGCACCTGGTGTATGAAGATATGAATCCCCAAAGCACAAGGACCCAAGAAAGACACCCAGGAAATGCGAATTCCAAGGCGATATGGTACTGAAATCGGACAACCATGGATAACCTATAGTAAGTCCAAAGTCCGTTGCTAGTCCCGAAACCGCAGGTCCAACTGTTCAAAGTTCTGCGCTTGCCGACTCTTGTGTGGTGAAAAAGCCTTCACAGGCAACGAAAAATAAAAGCGGTAGACTTTTGAAGAAAGACCGGAATCAAGAAATGACAGTTTCGTTGTGGTAAAGCAAACCATTTTTCAGTTCCCTTCAATAGAAACACTCGCCGATGTCATCAGCGACACGGCCAGCATTTTCCCAGGCTATTTCCTTCCACCCAGCGAATCATTCAACAAGGCCATTGGTGAACATATGTGATTTTGCTATATTTATATCCCAACATATGCCAAACCATTGGTCATCTCCACATCTGTCAAAAACACAATGTGCTTAAATTGTGTTACCAATTTTGAGGTAAAACCATAAACATCTCGTGTCTTGCCCCCCAACGGCCTTCTCGTCAGTCATTAACCTTCTCGCAAATCATCTTTCTTGGGCCGCGCCTGGCTTGTAAAAACTGTCCCAGTTGACACTTGCTTTATAAACCCATTAACATCCATTCATGTCATATCATGGTACATCATGTCACATCATGTCACATCATGTCACATCATGTCACATCATGTCACATCATGTCACATCATGTTATATCACATCACATCATGTTATATCATGTCATATCATGTCATATCAATGGGTATCATGTCATATCATGTTTTATCATGTTATATCATGTCATATCATGTTATATCATGTCACATCATGTTATATCACATGACATAATGTTATATCATGTCATATCATGTCATATATATATATATATATCATGTCATATCGCGTCAAATCATGTCATTTTTTCATATCATGTCATATCATATCATATCATATCATGGTATATCATGTCACATCATGTCACATCTTGTCACATCATGTCACATCATGTCAAATCACATCACATCATGTCATATCACATCACATCATGTTATATCATGTCATATCATGTCATATCAATGGGCATCATGTTATATCATGTCATATCATGTTATATCATGTCACATCATGTTATATCACATGACATAATGTTATATCATGTAATATCATGTCATATATATACATATATATATCATGTCATATCGTGTCAGAACATGTCATTTTTTCATATCATGTCATATCATATCATATCATATCATGGTATATCATGTCACATCATGTCACATCATGTCACATCATGTCACATCACATCACATCATGTCATATCACATCACATCATGTTATATCATGTCATATCATGTCATATCAATGGGCATCATGTCATATCATGTCATATCATGTCATATCACATGACATAATGTTATATCATGTCATATCATGTCATTTCAATGGGCATCATGTCATATCATGTTTTATCATGTCATATCATGTCATATCATGTCATATCACATGACATAATGTTATATCATGTCATATCATGTCATATCAATGGGCATCATGTCATATCATGTTCTATCATGTCATATCATGTCATATCATGTCATATCACATGACATAATGTTATATCATGTCATATCATGTCATATCAATGGGCATCATGTCATATCATGTTTTATCATGTCATATCATGTCATATCACATGACATAATGTTATATCATGTCATATCATGTCATATCAATGGGCATCATGTCATATCATGTTTTATCATGTCATATCATGTCATATCACATGACATAATGTTATATCATGTCATATCATGTCATATCACATGACATAATGTTATATCATGTTTTATCATGTCATATCATGTCATATCATGTCATATCATGTCATATCATGTCATATCACATGACATAATGTTATATCATGTCATATCATGTCATATCAGTGGGCATCATGTCATATCATGTTTTATCATGTCATATCATGTCATATCATGTCATATCATGTCATATCATGTCATATCATGTCATATCACATGACATAATGTTATATCATGTCATATCATGTCATATCATGTCATATCAATGGGCATCATGTCATATCATGTTTTATCATGTCATATCATGTCATATCACATGTCATAATGTTATATCATGTCATATCATGTCATATCAATGGGCATCATGTCATATCATGTTTTATCATGTCATATCATGTCATATCATGTCATATCACATGACTAATGATATATATGGCAATCATGTCTATAAATCGGCATCATGTCATATCATGTTTTATCATGTCGATATTTCATATCTATGTCATATCACATGCATAATGTTAGCTCATGTCATATCATGTTCATATCATGTCATATAATGTCATATCATGTCATATTCATGTCATTATCATGTCATATCACATGACATAATGTTAGATCATGTATATATCATGTCATTATCATGTCAGATCATGTCATAGCAGGTCATATAATGTCATATATGTCATTGATCACTAGACATAATGTTATATCATGTCATATCATGTCATATAAGTGGGATTCATGTCATATCATGTCCATATATTGTCATAACTGTTTATCATGTATATCCACATGAATAATGTTTATATAGGTAATATCATGGCATATCATGGGCATCTGTCATATCATTGTTTTATATGTCATAATCATGTCATATCATGTCCATAGATCACATGGACATTAAGTTATATCATGTCATATCATGTTTCATATCAATGGGCATCATGTCATATCATGTTTTATCATGTCATATCATGTCATATCATGTCATATCACATGACATAATGTTATATCATGTCATATCATGTCATATCAATGGGCATCATGTCATATCATATTTTATCATGTCATATCATGTCATATCATGATATATCGCGTGTAAACCCAGTTGACCAAGTCCTTGGCGTCCTCCCCACGGACACCTCTGGCAGATCGGGGAGCTTCTCAGCATCCAATCTTTCAGCGTAAACCTGGGACAGGCAGAGGAAAATAAACAACCGCCTTGGGGACTATCAATATAAAACCACCTTGACCCTCCAAGTACGAAACAAATCGAAAAAAATGGGTAATATATGGTAATATACCCTTTCACTTTGACATACTTTGACATGCTTTATACTTTGACCCATTTCTATGGGTACTTGGAGGGTCCAAGTCTAAGTAGTTTCTTTATACCGATCTATGTAGACAGCACTTGGAAGTCGACCGATTTGTTTCTTGCGGATGTAGCCTTTCGGACTCTAGCTTCAAGGCTTGGATCATCTACCCCTGCGACTTTGAGGTTACCTTGAGGGTACCTAGGCTCAAAATCGCTCCACGCAGTAAGATGTATATTCAGATCTATGACCTATATGCTCGGCTCCCATTTCAACTGTTGGTGAGTGGCCAGCAATTTGACCTGGAAACGGTGAATTTTGGGATGCTTTGGGGGTCAACCAACATGATCATTACAGGTTCAAACGGACACTGCAAGCTAGGAATATCCAATCTGCAGTGAAAGATATTATGAGTTATTTAATACACTATCACTACATCACCAATCTCATCGAATCTGCATCACCCACCATTGCTGAAATTGACCATCGGGCCCTTGAAGCTTCACCGAGAAACGGTGCGCCCCTTGGTTCGCACGATGAACTTCTTGGGTTCTGCGCCAATCCTGGATGGATTTCTCCGGCGAGGCGGCGTGGAGGAAGGTTTCTGAAGGACCCTTGGAACATATTGGAATCAGCAATGGGCTTTGAGCAGAGACAATTCTGGTGGATTACATATGATTACATTGACCAATGTATTGACCAATGCATTTAGACTAATTAATGTATTTAGACCACATATTTTTCCAGTCTAAGGGTGCCAGGTGGATTTGAATGTACAAGAATCAACCTACCGTCTTTCAAACGTCTTTCGTCTTCCCCTTGGGTCACCACAAGGACAAGCCCAATTGGGATCACAAACCAACTGGTGAATCGAAGCGGGTGGCACTAAGCCTTCCAATTTTGTTGGGCAAATCATGTTGAACCACACCCATCCCATCTGGGTTTGTCTCAATCATGGACCCCCCAAAGTCTATCAAAGTCATGGTTTATCATCACTGTCATTAAGAAGTCCATTTGGTGAAATCTGGGCATCCGTGCGGCCACGGATCACCGCCCGGGTTGCTGAGTAGCGGCATCGCCTCCCCCAAAAAAAGGTGACATTCTCCCCGGCCAAGGGGACAAGAACACCAGCAAAGTTATGGTGATTTTAACATCTTTTAACGGGATTTAATGGTATTTCAGTGATGTGGGATTGATATAGCTAAGTTGACTATGTTGACTTATATATATATACAAAATATATAACAACATTATATAATTTTACATAACTTATAACTTGGTTAACAGTTGGGTTGAACAGGGCGATATAACATGATCTAACTACAGATTGAGGGGTTTATAAACCAACAAACACCACTGGAGGGCCTCACCTTAAGCATCGGGATGTGACCTCCAACAACATCACGGTCTACGCAGCAAAAGATCAATGGACTGGTTTTGTTGGGAAAATCTTAACCGGAAACCATGGTTTTTACCATCAAATTTGATGGGCTTTCCGGTTAAAATTGTCCCATCCAATTCTATGATGTTTAATTATCAACACGCGGACAGATGTATCTGTCCAATCAGAATCAATATGGTGACCATTACTCACTATTCTCCCACCATTTGCAAATGATGTTAAAACCCCCCCGAATCACACTCTCTAGTAGTTCGGCCGAAGATGGTCGCCATATCTCGGACCCTGGGCAGAACTGAAGATTAGACAATTCACAGCTCAGAAATATCGAAAAGTAGTTAGTCTTAATCACAAAAAAACAGGTAAGTGTTCTATCTGCTTGGGGTTTAATATAATATTAATATATATAATTAATATGTATGTGTATATATATATATTATGAATTAATATACTCTAATCATCATGGATAAAGACAACCCCCATCACCGCCCAGTCGTGGGCGCCCAGTGGTGCCGGCCTTGGGTAGGTCTCGGTGTTCATCGGCGAAGCTCACGGTGCTGGCCTGGCAGGGATGGGAGTCATCAACAGGGCCATGATCAATGGCCATGCTGGCCAGGAACCATTGGTTAACCATTAATAGCAGTGGTTAATGGTTAATGGTTGATGATGGTTAATCAATTGATCATTGGTATATAATCACTGGTCATGCAACAGGAACCTATTGAGGACGGAGGTACCTATTCCATATATGTTTGGCCTATTTTTCATGCCTAAATTTCAGGGAATATCCCCACAACATATGGTCCACAATATGGTACTAACGTACCTCCATTTTAGGATCCTGAAATTCCCATTGACATGAGGTCTATCCAAAGTTTATCCTCTGAATAGTACAGCATCAGAGTCTATCCATAGGATAGTCAGTATAGTATCCAAAAGTATATCCAGGGATATATGCTCATAGAGGTCTATCCATAGTACATTCATGATCATTCATCCAGAGAATATCAGAGTACATTCAGAGTATATCTAGGTCGTCTGAACATGTCTGAACATTTTAGTGGGAAAAAAATGAAATAATACCATCCACTGGCGAATCAGCATGTTCTCTATAATATGACAATAATCATGTTGATTCATTCAAGCCAATGTATAATTATTGTGAGTTATGCAAGGGCTGCATCAACCAAGATCCTCGTCATCTCCCGATGAGCGCAGTTTGAAGCACGATCAACCAGCTCCAAATAACAGTTTTGGATAGTTTTGGATCCAACAGTTTCAGCCTTGGGTGTGCACAAAATGATGCTTTGACGTCGTTTCTTTTCTAAATCTATCGGGGTTCCAAATATAAGGCGCCCCAAACATCCACAAACCTAGAGGTTTCTGGCTCCGGCGACACTGCGATCTATCTGAGTTTTCTTGATGAATTGCACCAGCTTTGGAGCGCCTCTTCCAAAGAATCCGGTTACTGATAATACATCATAAGTCAGGAACCTAGTAAGGGCCATGAGATGGTGAGAACAATTCTCCAGCCTCCATCTGCAGCTTTTCATTCTTGGGCTTCGGCTGAGTTGCTGCCTCGTAGCCAAATACCGTGGGTTAAAATCATCTTTCTTTGGGTATATATATCATAATATATATATATGTGTATATAATATGTAATCACTATATATTTATTTCACTAGCAAAGTTCATGGATACACTTTTTACACAACAAGGAGAACTATGGAGACGCCTGTTGTGGTCGGACTTACCCATCTGCATCATCCCACTAAGACGTGTTTTGGGCAAGGCGCTCAGCCTCAGAAATGGGTGCCCATTTCCTTCTTCCCTGTGGTCATTCTGCCCTATATGCCCTATAAATATGGAGGTTTCAATGGAAGAATGGAGGAAAACTTCCTAACCACTGCCCGGGCCTGCCCCTTGAAGAGCAAAGTTCCAAACCTGGCATCAACCTCAAGACCTTGGTCGAATGATGCAGGACTGGAATGATTGTGATGGATCTAGCAATGGTGAATTCACCTCCATAAGTTGGGAGAAACAACAACGAAACAAACGACGTAGCGTCTCTGCAAAACTTTGAGACGACTTTTCTGTTTACTGGGAATATCTGAAGAAATGTCTCAAAAGGATAGGACTGGGCCATGATGGCCATGGAGTCATGCTCTGAATCCTTAGCTTCGCGCTCAACTCCCTGCTTTGATGCTGGAACCTCAGGACATCGGAGTTGAATACACCAAGCCCCAAACAGAAAAGTCGGAAGCCTATGAAGCCTGAATAGTGTGGGGAAAACATCATCAACATCTTGGACATCCGGAAAACGTGTTATGCATCTCAAAGGGGGGGGTGCGTCATACTTTCAATACGAATCTCAGAACCCAGGATGGATCCAGGTTGGACTCCCCATCTCCCTGGGCCGTCCGAACTCAATGAAGCGGCTGAACATTGGAGGGCTCCACTCACCCAAGTTACCCAAGGCCTGGGATGCCCAAGGTATGGCCGTATCACCGGGGGGAGCCAACAGGATCAACTGACCGCAACAGATTGGCCTCTTAGACGGCAAAAAGCGAAGATTTTTGGGAGGTGCATTGGAATCATTGAACTAAAAAAACTCATATGATCATCATACATCATAGTCATAATCATCATAATCATACATAATACTAAAAGAACTCATATGAACATGTGGATCATCATAATCTTTGTACTATCAAAATTCAAATGCTGACCAATAGAACTGCATCGGCTGATCGACTTACTGATGAAAGTTTTTATGACAGCCAAGAACGGGGTGGGTTTCAAATCCCGAAAATGACTGGCCAACCAGTTTGGAGGCTTATATAATCCAAAAAACGTTTGCATAGATTATAGTATATTATATATCATTACATATTAGTGTCTGTCCCACTTCTACATCATGATATCATCATGATATCCCGACTATTCCATATTGCTGCTTGTAAACCACCAACTTATCGTATCACTGTGGATAGCTGACACCACCCGGGCCCCCCGGACTCCACGGCAGTGTTTGGCTTCCACTGCGAAGACGTAGCCGTGTCCCGTGGGAACGGGCATGACCTGGACACAGCTGAGTGCCCATCCAAGGTTGTTGCAGGACATAAATGGGAACATGGGAAATGATCTTGGCAAAAACAAGCAAATTCTCATGGGTTTTAGAACATATTATGTTCATTCTTCCTTGTGAGAATTCAGCATTTCTGGGTTTCTGGGTTCGCCTCATTTTTGGACTGACCCTTAAACGGGACATCAATTGGACATGGAGCACATGATGGCCTGACAGCAAACGTGGGGAATTAACCAACACGCATAGTGATTATAGCCCCGCAAAGGAGGATTTGAATGAACATCATGGGACTTTATCAACAAACATGGTAAACATGGCAGTGCAAACTTTAATGAACAACATACTTGGTGCCTATTGGACCAACAAACTTCAAACCTTACCAAGCAGGGGCTGGCATCAACATGGGTTTGTCTGAAAAGATGGTGATATCTGGCATCATTTTCAGACAGGCCCAAGATCTTTTCCAATCAATCAACCAAACATCACCAAACCGAGCATTTACCCATGGATCTCCGGGCTTCCCCCATCGCCCATATCACCATACCAATCTCTCTTCTAAGCAACGTTGACTTCCGCTTCCAAAGTAGGGGGCAGCTCGTTGGCGCGTCCCTGCAGGAGACAGCATTCAGTGAAGGTGGCCTCGTCTTGAAGTGATTTTCCAGTTTTTCAGTGGTTTAGAACCCATAATATATATATATATGTATGTATGTATATATGTATGTATGTATGTATGTATGTATGTATGTATGTATGTATGTATGTAATGTATGTATGTA